TGGCAGGGCAGCCCCCAAGGGTGCCCCTTATCCCTCCCGGTTCAGTCCAAGGTCTGGCATTTCCATGCTTCGCTCACCTCCCATCAGAGAGGGAGCCGCCAACCCCCCCGCCAATCCCTCCACACCGCTCAGATGCCCAGGTACCGAGGCATCGCCTGCTCATACACAGCATAAGCTTTGCTAGATTTGAAATAACATGGGTGCAAAGCAAAAGCCTGACATGCAGTCACCGTGCCAGGTCAGCTCGTGGTGCAGACCAGTCCTTCAGAGAGCAGCGGGGCACCGCTGGCACTTGGACACACATCTTTATCCGCCACGGCAATGCACACCCGGATCCCTGCTGCAGTACTCAGGCTGGTCTCACTCTATTATTTATGCCAACTGCAAGAAAAAAAAAATCAAAATAAAATCAAGGTGAAGGACCAGATCATCGCTGGGTTCTCACAGTAAAACGGATTTTACACTGCCCACCAGGAAAGGTGACAGAGGGCACCTCTCCAAGAGCATTCACAGGGCAAACACCAAGATCCCAGGGCAGAACTGGGCTCTTCACCCCATACTGCCGACAAATGACCTTCCTACCTGCCACCACCTTTTGCTGCAACAAGATGCTCCACTCTATAGAGAGGTCCCCAGAGGACACCTGGGAAGATCCTTCACTTCATAAACAAGTTTCTTGCGCTGGAGATAAAGCGTGTTTGGGGGACCCCCAGGACATTGCTGGGTTTCACACTGCAGCCACTCTGAGTTATAACTGAATTCAGTTTGTTCTGTCAGGTGCAAAATTTCTCCACTTTTATGTATCTTGCAGCTTAACGCTGAAGCCAAACCCAAAAGCAAACCAAGCGCTGGCCTTCCAAGAAGGGTCCAGTCCTCAGCCCACAGGGACCGCTGGGCCAGGCGGGAAACCCACTGCTGCACCTATGGCACGGAAGGAGGGACTGCAGGGCGGGCGGCACGGCATTGCACAGGATGACTCAGTTCAGGGAGGCTCTTGCAGGAAAGACACACGCCCAAGAGCTTCCTGGCCGGCCGTTCCCACACCCCACGGCACTGACCCTGCGCTCCCAGCAAAAATGCCAGCGACCAGTCCCGGCGGGCATGAGACAACGATGTCCCCAGGCAGGTCACCAACCCATCCCCAAGCATGCTGTGCCCTGGGTGCAGGCATCCCCACACAGGGAAGTCCTCACCTCATCTCTCCCTGCTGCATCTTGGTGGGATTGCTGCTCATGCCTAATACAAACACAGCAGGGAAGACATCTCCAGGGCATCCACCGTGCTCAGGCAAGCCATACAGGGCCAGTCTGTTGTCCACTGCTATAAGGAACGGACTGCCCAGACCAAGCAGATGGAGAAGGACCTGTGCTAGTCTCCACCATGCCCAGCAAGCTCCTGCAGAGCAGGAGCCACTGCAGAGCTCATTCTAAGCACGTCCCCCCAAGATGCTGCAGGTCCCACGCAAGGCAGAAAGATGTGACAAGTCATGCAACGACAGCGAAACATCGCAGGGCCCAGGCAGGAAGGATGCCATTTCCAAGATGTTCCTGCCCCATCTTCAATTCTCCAGATTGGGCAGGACAGCTACAGGGGGCCCCGGGCTCCCAGGGAACACGGTTGGTCCCCCAGTCTCAGTGCAGCACTCGTACTGCAAACCACACCGCCTCAGCCAAACCACACAGCCAGGAACCGGTGGCTGCTCCTTCCACTGTTGTCCTCCCTGCTCGGAAGGGAGGTGCATTTTTTTAGAATGTTTTTCACTGTCAATCATTAGCAAAAAACCCCTCTGCTCCAGCAGCCTTG